TCTCTCTCTCTCTCTCTCTCTCTCTCTCTCTCTCTCTCTCTCTCTCTCTCTTTCAGGCCTACCCATGTATTTGGACGGCCACTAGGGGTGGACACAATGAGGCAGGTGACCTGACCCTAAAAACTAGGGCCTGGGCAACAAAATATGGCCTGAGGGCCGGATCTGGGCTAAGGCAAGAGAGGCCCCCCGCCCTGCCTTTTTTTTATATATATATTTTTTCCTTTGGTTTTCTTTAGTTCTATCCGGCTTTGATAAGGCCAGGCCCGGACCTCAGCTGACCCTTAGGAGAACAGGGACGGGGTAGGTCCAAGGCTGGCCCGACCCATTGCCAACCCTAGAAGCCGCCCAGCCACCTAGACGGTCCGGACCCTTAGCTATGCGGTTGTCTCCGCCTTTTTGAACATTTGATGACCAAGTTATTATGCTTGATTATATAGATTTTTTCTTTGCTAATGTATATGTTTGGTCATTCATCATATTTATGAATATTTAGAGTCTTTAATTCCATATCTCGGTCAAACCAAAACCACAACATATATATGTCGAAACTTCGTTATTCTTACCAGTGTACACGTAAACTTCTCTTTATATATATATATATATATATATATATAGATAACAAAACATACATCTGAGAGAAAAGAAAGCCATTGGTTCTTGGACAACTCCTAACAAAGAAATCATGGCTTATTGGGTTCTCATTCTAAGAAGTTATTTTGCAATTCCGTTTTTCTCAAGGCTTCTAGGATTTTGTTAGCTTATATAATTTGTAATCATATGCCATGTTAACTAATACAAACTCAATACATTAAATTTATTTAGAAAATAAAGTTTGATTGGAAGCAATTGAAAAGTTAACAAGAAATTTCTCTTTATTTATCTCTTGTCTTTTGTCCACTTTTTCCCCCTTTTTTCTTTTGAATTTTGTATGTTTCCCTATTTTCTTCAACTTTCCTTTCTCTTTTTATCTTAAAAATAACCAACTTGTCAGAGGAATTCAATTACAAAAGTCCTTAAGTACTAAATCTGAATTACTCATCAGCTGCTCCAGCTCACTACCATAACATAACTCACTACTTCCAACAGATTAGATCCTTCTAGATCACACAGGATGACTAACTAAGCCACTTCGTGCAATCCCCCTAAAACAACTATTGTTGCTGGCTTTTTAAATCTTTCATAAACATACCAAGAACATGCAATACATTTACCTCAGTGTATCAAGTATTCATTTTAATACTCCCTAGACACAACTCCATCATTCTGCTACACTAGACAGTAAAACAAATCTTTACCAGGAAGCTGATAAAGGGAGAGGCAATTCACCTCTTCTAAAAGTAAATATAAAAAGTTTTTTTGGCCATGTGAAGAATGAAATTGTAGAAACATATCAAAGAAGCAAACCGAATCTCTTAAATAATAAATAACTCTCCGAACACAGTAACTCACAAAAACATATAATACTTCTCGAAACTCATGAAAAAACAAAAGGCACAAGGTCATAATTTGTAAGTCTATATGCAAAATAAATCGTTAGAGCTTACATGCCCTGCATAGTAGGCACGGATTTCAAGGTCCTTATCAACTTGCACTGTCTGCTTCAAGTCTACTGCTGTAACTGTAATGCAACAACAGAAAGAAGCACCATTGTGGTTCAAACAATATAACGCAACACAAAACACCCCTGAAATCGGAAAGATTTACCCATGACTTCTTGTCATATCCGTATAAATTACATGCAAAGTCCAAATTGTATGCAAGAGGAATTACATTCCCATAATGTATGTGTAGCCACAAGTCACAATATAATGGACTTTCTCTTCATGGAAAAGCGTTGGGCTTGGGCAGATACATTATTTGTAAATATTAGATCTGATTGGTTGATAATGGGTAAAGTTAAGAGCATCTTTTCCCTGAGGATTAAGAAATTGATACGAACTCGCAACTACCAACTGATCTAGAGAGTTATAGGTATTCCATGAGTCTATGCCAGCGAAAACCACTAATCAGCCTCTTAGAAGGGTATACTATTAAGAAAGCTATTCATTAACACAAGTTTGCTCCAAAAGTAGCAAAAGATTGTTTTCTTTTCCATGTCCTCTCCTTCACAGTATTGATTTGATGGATGATGCTGCATGCAATGTGAATTTATGAGCAGTACAAAATGGCGACTTAATATGAAAATTTCGGGCAAGTTGACATTCTTCTGGCATACAACCCACCAAATTAGTATCTGCATCAAAAGAATTGTATGAAAGCATATTTAAAAAGAGAACCCAAAAAATGAAATTAATAAAACACCTTTGAATGGTGAGAACACATGATCCCAAACACCACTATATGAAAAAAGGATTCCAAGTTGAGGCATAATGATGCACAATCACTTTACAGTTTATACATAATCCGATGCAGTTACTTCAAGGTTATTCACATTCGAATAGCATTATTTGGCCCAGTTTGAATGACCTAACAACTCCAGTAACGAACAAGGTTATTTAGAAGCATGTGAAAAAAAGGAATTATGTTCATAGAGTTGTGGGCATTTTAGCAGCATTTTCTTAGATAGAGGCCCCCACTAATGACTATAGGAGCAAACAAAGCTATGACCTTTCTCATTCCTGAATGGTTGGAGAGAACAGAGTTATTCCTTAATAAATGATCTATTCAATGGATCATTTGAAACCTTAAATATTTGGCTTTTAGCACCTAAATATTGACAGAAAGAAGATTTGCCACAGGAAACAACATGAATATTAAATTGAAAGTTATACTTCATCAACAAAGAGCAACTCATGGCTAAACGTTTTAATGTCCATATCCTGGAAACCCAAAATTTAGAGACTATTGTGGTTAGAACTTAAGTTTTTCCTTTTTTTTCTTTGTCTCTTTGAAACATTAGATCTATATGTTTATGATATCTTACTTAAGGCCTTCTAAAAACCTATCATAAGTAACAGGTGCAAAAAACTCTTAAGAACACACAATTATCGAAAAAATGGAACAATAAAAATTAGTAAACACAGAAGTTGACTTTGGGATACTAGCTCGTACCTTTCTTCATACAGCCTTGTATTTGTTGTGCGGTAAACTGTTCTTTCTCTCCTCTTCGGTCCACCATAACTTTTCGATAATCCTCCAGCATTAGAGGGGCCAGAGCCTTGGTTGGATACTATATCAACATCCCAAAGGGGAAAAATTTTGAAAAACCAAAGGACAAGTTTAATTAACATAAAATTCAAGATTTTAATAATGTGTAAAATAACTAATATTTTCTATAATTAATCTTCATATAGCCAAGGAAGCAAAAATAAAGACCATGAGCAAAAAAAAAAAGGCATCCACTCAATATCGATAGTATTCAAGTTCAATGAGAAAATGTATCAATGAACGGGGATACCACTGCATGAAAGAAGTGTAAGTATAACCTTCTTGCAATACATAAAAAAAGAACCAAAGAGAGCTTTAGAAATAACATGTTTCTTTTCCCTTTTTTTTCTTTTTTTTGAGAAGTGATTGACTAAAATTTATCTTGACAAGAAAACAAATTGCAGATGAGACTGGGACTTGAACCCGCCTCCTTTAGAAATAACATATTCATAGCAAAGTTGTAGGTACTGCTCCTAAGTCGAAGGGGTTAAAAGAAATTTTGCCAAGGCACATAGGATTAAAAGAAATTCATGTAATATCTCACTGAAGAGGATGCAGAGTGCTCAGCAAACATGGAAGTTCGAATTGGAATGTCATGTAGTTATGACATAAGATGAAACATCAAAGACAATGGAAAATCCGTTGCAAACTTGGAGAGAGGGGAGGAGATCTATCAGAAATCGCATGTGTTAATGTGTAGCGAGAGAGAGAGAGAGAGAGAGAGAGAGAGAGATCTAATTAAAATCAAATGTTGCAGTGACACTTAACTTACATCATATCTTCGTTGCTACATGAGGGCCTAAGCATAAGTAGGACTAAGGATTTTTTAATGTAGACAGGAAAAAC